AATATTTCTTAGTTCTTTTTTTTTTTTTAAGAAAAAAATAATGTATGCAGTAGAAGGACTAATCTGTTATTTCTTTCATGGTTCCAAACATGCTAATATTAGTATTAATGGTAGGTAAATGTAACTTGTTACTCAAACAACTATTTAGGGTTTCTAGAGCTCCTTATAAGGCTTGTTGAAAAACCTGTTGTCGAACCTTGTTCATTGCTTTTTGTTGTTCAAAATGAATGGTTTCATTTTTGTAATTTTCTAATTGTTCCAAAGTCTTAGAAGTTGAATTAATCAAATTCAATTTTTCTCGTTCTATCTCAGAATATCCATTCACTCGAAACTGATCCGCTTCCTTTTCTACTTTTCGTAAGCGGGAACGGGCTTTTTCCAGCTGTTCTAGGGCCCCTTCGCGTAGTTCTTTCGAATAGTCTTTAAGATCCTCTGTTTTTGATTATGTTTACTTTTGTAAGACGGTTATTAAGATGAGACCTTCTCTGACGCCAACATACCGATAGGTTAGGTTTTCTAACTGTGGGCTGTGTATAAAATCACGTAAAAGTTAAAAAAATACGTAAATCTAACAGTTAGAAAAACATGACCTATCGGTACACCGACGTACCAGAAAATCTCCCTATTAAGATTACCTTTGTACTAGTGAAACTAAGTTGAATTTTGATTTTATTAAGATTAGAAAATATATACGAATTTTGAATGATCTGGTAATATACGTACTCATTATTATCAATAAAAAAGGCAAAGCGACAATTTTTCAAACTAATATTTTGTACCAGCAACGAGTGTGGACTCAAGAGTGACGAGCTTCTGTGGTCAATCTTTCTGTATTTTCTGTTTCTGTTTTTGTTTTTTTACTTTTATTAATTTTTTGGTTGAGTCGTTGATGTATAGATAGGCAATACGGTAAGCACACACCATTTGATTTTTAAGGTCGTGGCATTATTGCAATAAGTTTCAAGAAAAAATTCGATCTATGACCCCCAAAAAAAGAGGTGGCATGAAGCGTAATTTAACTCCAAAAAAATAAAAATAAAAAGTTGATATTTGCCAGCTATCAAATCATTCCAACTTATCATAATCCTACTACTTGTCAAAAGCTCTTGTGCGTAGTGCGTACTTTACAACAATGGAGACTAAAGTTGATTACCTTATGTTTTAAATGGTAAGACTTTGATTACAAAAAGATTAAAAATAAATGGATTTTATACAGTAGCAACGTCATGTTTGAACTGTTATTTTAGCTATTAAATTTATTTTCTAGTACGGTTTAGTTTATGATCGGAAATAATTTGTGTGGTGTATTAAAAATGTTTAACGTACTCATAAATTAAGCCATTAAAATATTAACTCAGTGATTAAATTAAAATATTAAGTCCAATCTATAGGAAAAAAGGATACACTGTATATGAGTTCTAAAAAATATATTACGTTTGGTTGGAGGATTCAAATCATGTGATTTGAACTATTTTCGATTTACGTGAATTTTTTGTAAGAGAAAATACTGTAGCGAACCATAAATCATGATTCAAATCAGGAAACGAATCTCTCCACCAAACAGACATAAACGTTGACAATATCCAGAACTCTTTGCCTTGTGGCTTGTGGTGTTGTTTGGAAGCGTTTAGCACGTGGAGTGATTTAAGAGTGTAGTGATTGGAAAAGAATTCAACTTTCTTGGAGCATATGTCTCCGGTACTATAAAACAACAATGGGGAATATATATATATATATATATATTTTTCAGAACTATACGACGGCTAGTCTTCGTTCTCTAGTAATTTATAACCATATATATATATATATTGTTAACAATTGTAATGCGTAAAGTACTAATAAATTTTTACATATTCCATATAGAATATCGAGTATTTGCATCTGATTCGTTTATTCATGGATTTGCATCTCTTTGTTTATTCTTTTTGTTAATTAACCTGCGACAGTTTAAATCCACAAGTCGGTGGAGTATTTACAAATGTGGTTTTTTTTTTTTTTTTTTCCTCAAGAATTTACAATGTTTTTACTTATATGTAATAAAGATTGACATCGACCAGAGTGTGCAAGAAATGAAACAGACATAATTCCAAAAGAGGATTCAACTTCAGTTATTAGATTTAAAATCGAATTACTGTATATCTCATTCATACATTTACTTAAATTCATAATCAAATCAATTATTGTAAATTGACTAATATGGGATTTGAGTAAATTTTGCGTTTTCAATATTTTTTTTAAGCAAAAAGAAAGTAGATTGTTGACTTATTATACTAATGTTAATTACAGTTAAAATAATTATTATAATACGATGACAACTAAATAACAAATATAAGTTGTGTGGCTATTTTTAAATAAACAACTAAAAATGAAGTGTCAAAAGCTGAATAATATAAATAATAAATTAAAATAGTCTCAAAAACAGAAATATACCTTTTTATTCAAATAAAAAGAAATTTTATACTTAATATTGTAGACATTATTCTCTCATTTCCTTTTTTTAATCCAACATTTTAAATAAATTAATAGTAAGAGAGATGGGAGTCCCAATCCAGAAGAGTCTCGGACATTAGAACTGATTTTTTTTTTTTTGATATATTCAGTAAAAGAAAAACTGATTTTTATATGCTTCAATGTTCAAGTCCATTAAATAATATGGCAAAAATGATTAATTAGGGAATATATTTAGGATACTAAAAATTAAACAAGTTATTTGAATCCGAAAAATAGAATGGGATTGATCTAAGTTGTACGATGTGTGTGAAGTATGCATGATTATTTTGGGGTTTTGACGTTGTAATAATTTTGATTGATGGTGGGTTGTATTTTGCTACTTTCTATTTTTTCTCTTGTTTAAATACATTTGAGTAGGGCGCAATGGTGTCCTCGCCTCATCTATTTTTGGTTTAAACTTTATTCCTTAATGCGATGTTTTATTACATGTTCAGACTTTACACTTCCAAACCCTAACTTAAACTAGAGTAAAACCAATATAGGTTCAAAACTTTTGGTTCAAACCCAAAATGTTCAAAACTATACAATTTAAACCCGCAAAGTAAACAGGCTCTAAAGTATTGTTTGTAGATAATTAATCTATGTTATTTTGCATGAAAATGTGACGTAACCATGTTCTTACTCAAAATCTACTTATCCCAATTCCCTCTAAAAATTGAAAATTTAATCATATCTTTTTTTTTAAATGAAATTAATCACACTTTCTAAAAAAAGTTCTGTTGACAATAAAAGTACTAGCTGATGGTTATTCCTGCACCGCATCAAAAATCATATTTATATAGACGTTCCCAGCCCAACTAATAACATTTCCTTAAAGATTCAAAAAGATGTATCCATTAATAAATATTTTTCACATAATATTCAACCCTACCTCACTCTGATTTTAATTTTGATTTGCTTTATAGAAACAAAATAAAGTTACAAAAACTTTATCATAGGGAGCCATTCTTTGATTAATGGGAAAGAGATCTACATTTACATCCCCCAACAGGAAGAGTGGTAAAAAAGAGTTGTCGAGTGAGTTTGGCTAGTTTGATTCTTATTATTATTTTTTTTAATTCTATACCAACTACTTATTGAGTAATGATTAAGTGTGAGGAAGATATTGGTAATTAAGTACAAGTCATGCTACGTGGTTGGTCACTGTTGATCGTTGTAAACGACGATCAGTTCTAGTACAATTTGTTTGGTATATCCAAGATTTTGCAAGGTTTACTTATTCTTTGAGGTTTAGAGGATCCTTTTTCTTCTTAATATTGCAGTTTGATGCATAATTAATCGGTCACTCACTTAAGCTGATATCATCATTTATTTATTCACTGGAATTATCCTGGATAAGAGCGGAACAAGTCACTTCTCTCAGGGGTCTCCTTTCCCAGTAAGGAATCATTATGAAATCTAATTCTTCAACCGCACTAGTTTTATTTACAAGTAACAAATTAGACAAAAAAACTTTCCCTAAAAGTGGTTCATTCAAGTAGCAACTCTAAAAATTATAATCTAAATACCCCGAGTTTGTGACATAATATCACATTACAAAGTACATAATGTAATAAACATGAATAGAGTATAAATATTGGCTTAGCAGCCCAAAAGTACTTTCAGCTTAGCATGTCTAAATTAGTACCATTGATATTTAGAGTTAATCTCACAAATAGTTACTGAGATTTACCGTCAATCCCACTTTAATCCTTGACCTTTGAAACGTCTCACATTTAGTCTCTGATATTTTACTCATGTTTCAATTTCAGTCCTTTTGTGTGCATGGTGTTAAATATTTGACGAAAGGACCCAAACTGAAATAAAATAAGACCTTAGAAACTAATTGTGAGACGTTTAAAAAATCAAGGACTAAAATGAAACTGAAAATAAACTTCAAGAAATATTTGTGAAATTAATCATACAAATTATGAAGTCTAGTCATTGAACCACTTTTATGCCTAGATTAGGCAATCTTCCCATACATGTATTCAAATATCAACTCTTAAAGTAATCCTCTAATTCACCAACATTTTTGGGTGGAACTAAGGGGCCTTTGCTATGCAATAATTAGTAGAAATCATAGTAGGTGTAAGATTTAAAATATCTACATGAACACATTTGGTTTCATACATGAATCTTCTATATACCAACATATACGTATAAATGGAGGGGAGGGGAAGGGTTGGGCTCAATTCGAATTTTGTATAACACTTGATTTAATAAATTTCTGCAAAAGGCAAATTTTGATAATCTTTTCTGTACAATATAAGCAATAAGAAAAGCATAGATATCTTGGTCCAAAACAATTGCCAAGATATCAACTGGCCATCATAGACCTATGACGTCTTGAATTCTAAAATCCATTTTGAGAACAAAATGCAAGTATATAATAAAGAAAAAGGTAATTACACCTCTATTTCTACCATTACATTACTGCCCAAATACCAACAGTTTTTTGCAAATAAAATATGAGATCGGGGAGAGAGAGAGAGAGAGAGATTCAAAAATTGAAATAAAAGATTATTCCTCTTCTCCTGTTTCCTCAACCCAAAGAGCAAAATCGACTAGGCACTGTGACCAAATCCTAGGAAACATGGAGAACCTGATATAAAAAGAAGAACGTACAATTGCGGGCCAGTAACCACTTGGCTCGAAAGATATAAGAGTACAGGATGATGACTAGGTTATATTGAACGGCTTGGTAACTCCAAGAAAATTTCTATAGGCAGGAAAAAAGATAAGCGATTGAAAAAGGCATCATCATAAATTTTTCTATGAAACAAAAGTGGCATAATACAAAGCAGATCATAGCAAGGATCCCGCGAAGAGATACCTGGAAAAGAACATGCGGACATGATCTACCATTCTTACAATAACTTATCTTTATCCAAATGGCTTCTCTCAGCCTTTTTTTTTTTTTTCTTGATGTCACCCGACCTTGGCCTACAAACATTGAGACTAGCATATTATGAACAAAACCACCAAAACTACGTGTTCTAACAGGCATGCGTGCACACAAATACATATATCCTTTAAACTTTCGAACTCTGGACAGATAAAATTTCCAGAACAATTAGATTGGAGATAAGAAAGAACTCTAAAATAAAGATGAAGAAACCAAGCATTTGTATAACTTTAAATCTGAATTAATGAACTTTATTGATATTTCAATTAAAAAAAAAAATCATGCAAACCGAGAAAACAGAACAAGAAGAATGAAAGCATAATAAAAAAGAGAATAAGAGAAATGATTACCAATCTGAATGTGTCAACGTCTAGGTCTAGGCTTGCAGCGAAATTCAGCTAGTAGTGCTATATGATCAGAGGACCACTCTGGAGAAGGAAGTGCTGTGTCTTTCCTCAAGCTTTCCTCATCCAAGAGCTCCAATAAGGACTCAACTGATAACGAGTCCGCTGAAGCCACGAAGTAGAATATTATGCACATGTAAGCTATAAAGAAGCAGAAATTTACAAGCCAAAAGAAGTTGATCTCAGAAAGTTCACCTGTGTAAAATATGTAATCTAAGGTGCCAATAAAATCTCTAGTGCAATTTGTAAATAATGGTTCGTTTGTCGACGGGTCTAGTCTCCTCCTCTGCTGCTCCAAAGCGAGACCAACTCCTGGTCTTGCAAATGATGAATAGGCACTAACCTGCAATGACTCGAGTGAGAACTAGTTCGAAACCATAAAACCAGAAAGCAGGCAGAAGAATAATACATCAACTCCAACATGATCAACAAGTGATTGCACAAGAGAGTTACCAGTGGCAGCTGATGTATCAGTTTGCTGTGAGGGCGCAGTATATTTAGAGGATCTACTGCTAACTCTGGATGCAACGGCTCTACCTTTCCCATGGCAAGAAGCGCATGTGGAGCACTGTAACAAAATTCATCAATTACTTTAAGCAAGCAACAAACTCACAGAAAATTATGGATACAAGCAAGTCAGTAAAGTACACGAACCTTCCAGGAACAGAATTAAAATCTCCACAAACCAACATTGGGATATCTGCACTGGCAGCTATTTTCTCCAATCCTTTCAAAAGAGTATGAACCTGACACAACAAGCAAGAAACAACAAAATAATTTTAGAAAGAATAAAATAAAAATAAAAATAAAATAAAGAACAGATGAGCACGAACAGAAAGCACAGAAAAATAACTACCTGCCAAAGCTTGACATCCTTTAGATCTTGGTGGACATTTACATGTGTATTTGCCTGTAAATTAAACCATGAGAGTAAATTTATAGGTGCCACGATGCAGATCAAAGAAAAATGTGAATACATAGACTCCTTAAAAATAACCCAAATTACAAGTTCTTGTCCTTCAACAACCACTATTACAAATTCTCATTTCGTATTAACCCAAATCACAAACTGTCATTAAACATCAACGCAGTCCAACATTTGAAGCGAAGTCTAGAGGGATAGGAGAAACCAAAGAGGAAAGAAAATATCCAGCTCACAAAGAAATTCCAAGAGGAAAAATAATTTTTTAAATCAGCATAAACCCAGCAATTGCCATGACACATGCACCAACACTACAACTTGCCTCTGACCAATTGTACCCAGTACCCAACCTACCACTCACTTTCCCAAGGAACGCACCATTCCTACAGACGCCTGTATAAACGAGTCATTATGCTAGAAAGATTGAAAAAGAAGTATATCATAATCTGCTCATGTTATACATATTGTAGAGAGAAATCATCTTGTACTAAATCCAGCAATTTTCATGACACATTCCCCCAGACTACAACTTGCCTCAGACAAATTTTACCCAGAACCAAACCTACCACTCACACTCCCAATAAAGGCACCCTTCATAGGCCACAGACGTCAATATAAATGGGTTTGCAGTCTTTATTTATCTGCTCATCTTATACATATTGCAGAGACAAATCAAACACGAATGATATAAGCATCGCCTAATAAAGAAGCAAACCAAAATGCAAGGAGACATTACCACACAAAGAAGTTGTCGTTTCCCAGGATTATCAGCACCCTGATTACTGAATTTTGCTTCAAGAACTACTATGAGTGCAACATTGTCCTATAAAAGAAATCCACATGAGCACCACTTCACCAACCTATACTACAGAACAGTCAGACTCGCGAGCTAATTATTAAAGGTCAGTCGAGCTACCTTAACCAATCGGCTTAAAGCAGTTTTCTTTTGAGTACTTGGAATCATAGCATCAGTTAATGACTGTGCAGCCTTATTAAATTCGACCTGCAGACAAGCACAATTTTTTTTTAACGAAATGACTAAATTCTAAAATGCAAGTAAAGAACCCTTTTTCCCTAGCCAAACCTCATATTTTTTGACATGTGAAAATCTGTCTCTGCGGAAAAATGTTGCACAGCCATCAATTGTTTGGGGGTTTCCATTATAGACCTGGAACAAACAAGAGCACATTAACTCAAGAATGTTTGACATCTTAAAGTTACACCATAACAAAAAAGAAATTTCAAGCAACCTCATTTGTTTTTCTCTTATACAACGCTTGGTAGCCATGTTTGTCCAGTTCCGGAGCAAAAAACTCCTCAAAATGATCACTTTGAACCTGCGAGATGGCAAGCAAAACTAGTTGCAATTATGAGAAGGCTTAAGCAAATAAAGTAAAATTTATTTTCCCTCAACATTCTAAACCTACACAAAAAATGCTTCATGGAAGTTATTTGACTCTCCTTTTTTTTTTACACAAACAAGAAAGTGTAGTTTTATTGCACAAATCCTTGAAAGTCAAACAAGGATACGGTACTAGTTTATGGGTCTCAAACTAGAATCAATACACATACATAAAGACAGAATTTGTATAACTCTGTAAAACTAAAGGAAAAGGAGGTTGCAACCAAAAAAAAATAACTCAGCTAGAGGAACATATCAACTCAACCCTACATTAAAGGATATCCACAGTCAGCAACGAAGTTTAAAGCACTAAAAATCCACGCCATGGCTATTATAAGTTGTAATGCCAAATACCAAACTTCAAGTACCTACTTATCAATTGTCCTCCTTGGAATAGGATTGGAAAATTGTAAGAAGCTACCAAAATTATTCTTGTTTCAAGCTACCAACTACCAAGTAAGAGTTATTTTTGTTTCCCTTTTGTATTCTCTATCCTGTTATTACAATTCCATAATTCTGCAAGGAAAAGATGAAATATACTTTAGAGAACTTAAAACTGCACCTTAGAATCTTGGTTATTTCAGCTCTTTCAAGGTTTAATGAGTACGCCAGTTCTAGAGAGATGGAATATTTTAGGAAACATGCCCTTCCTAACTCCCTATTTTAGTTTGTGCCCTTCAGTTAGTTACTCCTAGAATTCTGCCCTTCTTAATTTGACTTTAAAGAGAGAGAAGGGGCGTGGATCCAAGGCATTTAAAGAGGAGCATAAATCTTTATACCCATCACTATAAAGGCATGCCTCTAGTTGAAAAAAAAAGTTTTCGAGCTAAAAATTCCTGGTCGAGCTAAAAAAGCGTCCAATAATCAAATCAAGGTGCATTGCATACCTCCTGAAGACAAACTATATCCGCACGATAGCCAACAATTTCCCTCAACAAATTCTGCCTGCGGTATGGCCAAGAAAGTGCCCATGAAGGGCAATAGCTGTATAATTCACTAGTGGCATAGGCATCACACAAAATGTTATATGAGAGCACAGTAAAAGTTCCAGAAGATGAAATCCGGCCATCTATCTCTATATGCCCCATAACATCAGCTCCATTTACAGGAATCAAGTGACGTGGACTAGGAGAAGGTGCTGGAATGACACGAGAAGTTAAGATAGTATTAGCATGTCCGACAAATAACTTTGTTTCAGCATCCACGACAACACACTCAAACTTCAGAACATGCCCAATATCGTCAGCAGTTGGTGTATACGTTTTCGAGCGGCCAACCTCAAACCAAGTCTCACCACCACTCCTTTGTGTAATAGCTGCAGGGTATAGAGGTGTCGAACCATTAGTCAAGCTAGTGCTTGATGCCGAACTTGGTAAACTGGCATTGAGACTCCCAGACGATGCGCTATTGAAGCGCCCAAACAACTCATCCTCCTCATTTCCATTTTCATTCACAGCACTCGCAGCACGGTCGTGAAGAACACGATGGTGCTGCCACGCATCTGAAAAACACTTGGGAGAGCAGTGATAACTTTTCGCAACAGGTATTTTGGTCTTAACACAGCCAAGGCACTGCAACGTTGCTTGTTCAGATGGATGTATACTACAAAGGGCAACTTTTCTATCGCTCTGTATCCGATACCTACAAGAACAATAAGAAATGAGCAATAGTTAATCAAATTCAACATTCAAAACCATAAATAAAACTGGAACATAAGATTCTTGTTATACGCGTGTGCATGACTGGATTTCGTCAAAAAGTGCATAAATTTATGTTCTTTACTACTAACATTGAAGGGAAACTACCCGTGCAACATTGCAACAAGGATGGTAATTCAACAATCAATGCGCAACAGCGTTATATCCGACATAACATTCATTAACCCCTATTACTCTGACCATTATAGGACTATTACCGAGAACGCAAAGCATAGATTAGAAAGACTAACTAAGCAGGAAAAACCAAGGGAACAAAAACGAATCTTAAGATCAAAGAAAACAAGAAAAACAAGAACCAAGTAGAAAAAACACATCACTCTCGAATGTTAAACGTTGAAAGCACAAGTAAAGAACTTTCAAAAATTGGAAAGTTAACTGAAGCTAAAATTTGAAATAACATCAAATCACAAAGCTCAAGATTGCATATGCAATGAATTAAAGATCAATGTCTTGTGCCTACAAACATTTCTGAACTAAAACTAACAAAAGCTGAATTCTTTGACACATACGAAGAAAAATCATAATCTGGAGCACTGACCACTTGTATCTCAAGTAATGACCATCAATCGGAGCGGACTCCAGCACATCGTCGGTGGTGACGGTCTTGTCGGGGCGGCGAAGGAGGACATAGGGCGTGAGCTCGCAGCCTACAATGGGGATATCAGAGGGCAGATGCACGCGTACCACGCTCAGCATGCTTTTTCACTTATTCACTCTCGAAAGCAATATGCGAAACCAATCGAACACCGAAAACTCTCGAAGCTTCTCCCGAGAACACGATGGCGGCGGCGACACCACAATCCGGTCGGCGGATACCTGGCGGATCCGCCATTTACATGGCCCTTACACTAGCCAGCCTTGACGCACCCCCAAAATTCCGAAATCCAAAAACCCTAGAAAATCAACCCAATCCCCAAAAAAGAAAGAACAAAGATTTTCACCCTTCGCGGATCGAGGGCTGAAGATTCCAAATTTCTGCGCGCCGAGAAGGAAATTTGAGTCGGATTGAGAGAAAAACAAAGGGATTGATTGATTGCAGAGACAGGAGAGAGAGAGAGAGGGGGAAAGAGGAGAGAGAGACAAAGGATTTGTGCTGTGCGTACAATTGTCGCTCGTTCCTTCGTGGAAGTGATTGCGGAAATGGATCTATTAGGGGAAGAGGAGGATCGAAAATTCTAGAGAGAGAAAATTGGGGTCTAGAGAGAGAAAGAAAATAAGAGATCGATAATTAGGGTTTTACAGAAGAAGAAGAAAGAAGAAGTGAGAGAGTTTTTAGTCGTCTTCTCGACTCCGCTCCGTTCCTATACCGCTACACAAGGGACTACGTTTTTCTTTTTTTTTTAGAGAGAGATATTTTTTTTCCCCCAAATTAGAGAGAGAAAATACGATTATACGACTTTAGTATTTATATTTACTTTTTTTTTTAGATATGTTTCTCTCTTTAATTATTTATTTTTATTTTTTAATTACATTAGATAGAGAAAATACGATTATACTACTTTGCATTTTTTTGTTTAGTTTTATATTTGTATTTTCTCACTTTATTTTTTTATTTTTTACTTTTAAAAAAAATTAGAAAGAGAAAATACGATTATATGACTTTGGTATTTTTATTTACTTTTATATTTTCTCTCTTTACTCTTTTATTTTTAAGTTTCTTTTAAAATTATAGAAATATATGATCTTTTTTAAATTGGAAAGAGAAAATACAATTATACGATTTTAGTATTTTTATTTATAAATTTCCCTCTTTTTTTCTTTATTATTACTTTTTTATTTTATGTTTTTTCTCTGGTTTTTTTTTCTGCCTTGATCTTTTAAAATTTAAATTTAAAAATAGCAATGCCTTCTTTTTCATTTTCTGAAAGAAATTTTTTACGTTTTGTTTCTGATTTGGCCTTTAGGCTTTCCGTTTGATTTTTCCTATCCTCCTATTCGTCTCTTTCCTTTTGTTTTGTTGAGAGGATGGGAGAATTTCTTTCTTTCAGTTCCATTCAAAATTATTGGGTAATGGAAAAAACACCAATAACAATAATACACGTAAGAAACAAACCGTCCACACTACAAAAAATAGAAAAAAAAAACAATAAATAGTTTTGGATTCATTTCCTTTTCATTTTTTGTTTTTTTTGTTCCTATTTGTTAGAATATTGTCCTAGTTTAATCATTTAAATTTGAATATTTTTGTTGTGTATGTGTAGATACATCTGTTGTTGATGGAAGCGAGAAAAAGATTATCATAAATTGGATGATTGTATTTGCTCTGGTTGCGAAAGGGATAAGTACGTAGGTTTTTTTATGCTAAAAAATAATAATAATAATAATAAAAAGTTAGTAGTTTTTTTTTTTTTCAGAAAGGATAGACTTGCAGATTGTGGAGGAGAAAAAAAACAGAGAGAAGAGAGAAAAAATTAGGTAATATGCCACCAAAATCTAATACTTTTAGGTTATATATGGTAGTTTGTATTGCATTTTTTTTTAGAGAAAATACTGTAACGAATTATGAATTATAATTCGAATCGGGGTACGAATTCTCCAACCAAACAACCATGTATCATGATGTATTATATAAAAGGTCTAAATGTAAAATCTTTTAAAAAAATATATATAACTAGATCATCTTTGTTGATTTTTAAAAGAAGATATATTCTTATAAAATATCAAAAATATTTTATCAAAGAGCGCTCTGAAAATTCTTGCCACCTTTGTCGAGAATAAAAAATAATCTAACATGATATTAAAAGCATCCTACTACTATATTGGTGAATTTAGTGACAAAAATGCTAGGAAAAAAATCAAAAATATCACACAAGATGGTAAAAAATATGTGAAAATTTCAAGTTTAACAACTTTTTTTTAATTCTATTATTTATGCTACTATACAAAATTTTGATGCCACTACGGTCTATAAAAAATAACCTACAGGATATAAAAAATAATGTACATATTACAAAAGATAAATTGCAGGATACGAAATATAACCTACATGTTATGAAAAATATCCCGCATGATAACCTGCAGATAATGAAAAGATGACCTATAAGTTATTAGTGACATAAGTTAAATTTAACAATAATGTCAGAAATAAAATAGTGTTATTTTATTAACAGCATTTTTGAAAATCTCCAAAAAAAATTATTTATGCTACTAAATTAACAAATAAATAATAGTCATTCAATTAACATTTGAAATAACATTATGTATTAAAACACAAATAAAAAATAACATGTTAAATATACCATTATCACATTTTTTTAATGTCAAATGTACAATTGCCATTAACATTTGCATTAAAGAAGCTCCACAAATAAAGACCTAAAGAGGAACATTAAAGATTGAATACATAAATACACACATGACTCTTTAACAAATTCTCTCAACTGGTGTCAAGAATCCCATAGTACAAATGCCATAAAAAACCGCCAAAAAATAAATCCAACAAACGAAAAAGTACAACTGAACACTAAAAAAATGAGACAAACATGTTAATAAATCAAGATAAAAGTCACCATTATTATAAATCATACTAAAGTAAAAAAGAAAAAGACAAAATTACCATAAATAACAAAGACAAAACTATTATCAAATTACGACCACCAGCGTCGGAAACAATAACGAAAAGGTTGAGCACTAAATAAGGGTAAAATATTCGTCAATGGGTCACCGAGTCAATACAAGTACACAAAATGTACAGCCTAATATAGTCACCCAACATGGCACTTCTGATACTATCAGATACGTCACACTATTTGAAACGAGACTTGACGCTTATAATACGTTATCCGGAATCAGCAAACCCTTGACCCTTGCGTTTAATTCAACAAAGAAGACATGATAAAAAAATACATTTTCAAATGAACGTGGTCAATTACTCAATTTATTCAAAAAAGATCACCATCTAAACAAATATAACATTAATACATGGGCATAAGACTTTGTCAAGTAAATTAGTTTTACTTTTTTAACTTTGCAATATGAATGGGAACTTTAATCGTAGAAACAGTATTTATACTCTATTATCGACATTTTAATTATTGGATTAATTTATTACAAACTGATATCTAAATACTAATGTTAAAACTTAGAACTACGATGCAAAATTATTTCGGATCATAGATCCAATCGTTAAAAAATTATTCTAATGTTGGGTCCAAGGGGTCCCGGGGGTCCCAAGGGTCACGGGTCTCTTGGGGGTTCCGAGGGTGTCCCGGGGGTGTCCCAGGGATCCCAGGTGTCTCGGAGGTCCCGGAGGTGTCTCAGGGGTGTCCCGGGGGTCCCGGGGTTTCTGGGCGTCCCGAGTAAGTCCCGAGGGCGTCCCGGGGGTGTCTCGGGGGAGTCCCAGGGCCGTCCTGCGGGTGCCGTGGGTCTCGGGGGTCCTGGGGGTGTCTCGGGGCTCCTGGGGGCCCCGAGGGTGTCCCAGGGGTCCCGGGGGTGTCCCGGGGGTCTAAGGGGTGTCCTAGGAGTCTCGGGTGTCCCGGGGGTGTCCCGGCGGTCCCGAGGGTCACAGGGGTCCCAAGGGGTCCTGGGGGTCCCGGGGTGTCCCGGCGGTCCTAGGGGTTCCGGGTGTCCCGGGGGTCCCGGGTGTGTCCTGGGGGTCCCGGGCATGTCCCGAGGGTTTCCCTGGGGTTCCGTGGGCCCCGACGGTGTCCCGGGGATCCCGGGGGTGTCCCGGTGGTCCCAGGGGTCGTGGGGTTGTCCCGGGGCTCCTTGGGGTGTCCCTGGGGGTGTCCCGGGCGTCCCGCAGGTCTCGGGACTGTCCCAGGGGACCCGGGGGTGTCCCGGGGGTCCTGAGAGTTTCGGGGGTGTCCCGAGGGTGCCGGGGGCGTCCTGGAGGTCCCGAGGGTCCCGGGGGTCCCGGGGTGTCCCGGGGGTCTCGGCGGTGTCCCGGGGCTCCTGGGGGTCCCGAGGATGTTCCGGAGGTCCCGGGGTGTCCCACGGGTCCGGGGGGTCCCGGGGGTGTCCTGGGAGTCCCTGGGGTCTAAGGGGTGTTAATAACTCTAAGAAATTAGAGTTATCCACTAGTTTTATAGCCTAAAATTGTTTGTCCATGAGTGATTATTTTCGTTTATTGTTTGTTTTAAGTTAGATTTGTAGAGTTGCATGTACTGTGGCCTAATTTCGTATTGCTGTACCTCTTGAAATGAAAGCTGGTAATTTGGAAGTAAAATAGGTGAAAAACTGGCTAATTCTATGTGAGTTCCTTGCAGGAAATTGCTGGGCTAAAATGCTGCAGCATTCTGGGCGACATTCTGGGATTAGCTGGCAGCTGATTGATGTCAGTGCACTAGCTAAACAAAGCAGACAGAAAGGAATCCGTTTGAGCTGGCTGAGGAGGTGTCAAATGGGTCCACTGTGCACATCAGCAGTGACACCTCAGCCCTTGTGTTGCCCTAGAAGGGAATGTTTCTCTCAGGACAAGTTGGCAGCCGCCAGGGGGAGAAAAAGAGGAAGAGAGAGAATCGGGCATTAATATAAAAAGAAGACAGTTGCTGTTTCACAGAGGAGAGCACACATGAGAGTACGAAGACACCAGAAAACACAAAAAGGCATTATTCAGAAAGGAAAAAGCTTCGGAGGAAAGCTGAAGAAACCAGAACATCAAGTAATATTCAGCCTAGAAGGAAAATACAGAGACGTGAGAGCTGGAAGTTGAAGGACATTGTTGGCCGGCACAGAGGAATCCAAGATCCAGCTGAACTTGTTCTTTTTCTGTTAGCTTAACTCTTTTTGTTGTCATTTAGCTACTAATTCTAGATATGGATTATACTGGAGCTTTGGATCTTGTAACTATCATTATGAACTAAGTTACTGTAGCTAGGCTTGCTAATGGAACCAATATTGTAAGAATGATAAGTTGTTTCTGAAATGCTATTAATCTACTATTCATGTTCATTCATGTGAGCTAATGTTTATTTCTATTCTTGATTGGCCATCAACCTTAGGATACAAGATTGAGATTAATACTGGAAG